TTTTTTTGACTTTTTTTTGACTTTTTTTGACTTTTTTTTGACTTTTCCAATTGACTTTTTTTTGACTTTTTTTTGCCGGCCCAGCCCCGCATACCCCAGCCCGCCTGTAGCCTGCCTGAGCTCGACCTCAACCTGACCCCTCCGCCAGGAGCCAGCCGCAGCCAGCCCAACGCCTGGCCCTGGCAGCAACCTGCCCCAAAATTTGAGCAGCAGCTGGCTTGGGGCTGAAGAGACCCTGGGACAGTGGCTGGGGCTGGGTAGGGATCCTGCGACTCTGGGGTAGGGGGTTGGGGCTGGCTTGGGGCTGGAAAAGGTGAAAGTTGAACAACCAAAAAGGTTCTAGAATCTTTAATAGACTGAAAGCCATAAGCAAAAAGGCTGCAATTTGCCTTGTTACAAGCTTTTCCTTGACTTGTTTACCTATGCAAAGTTTTTGTTTGACTTGTTTTTTTTGACTTTTTGTTGACTGTTAATTTTTGTTGACTTTTTTTTGACTTTTTTTTGACTTTTCAATTTGACTTTTTTTTGACTTTGACTTTTGGGATTGACTTTTTTTTGACTTTTTTTTGCATTTTTTTAAAATTTTGAAAACAGGTTCTTTCCAATGAAAGTTTTTTTATAATCGTAGAGGGATGGTTTATGACTCAATGACTTGAATGATCATTAATTAATTAATTCATTCATTCAATCAATTCAATTCAAAATTCAATTATATTCAAATCAATTCAAAGGAATTGAATTCAATTCAAGTCATTTCATTTCAATTCAATTCATTCATTCATTCATTCATAGCGCTTGGACTACAGCTTGGTTTCTGCTTTTTTTGGGGAGAAGGCTTGTGGCTTTCACCAGTATACCTCAAATATGTGGGTGAGGAATGCGGCTCGGCCACGCCGATCCGCGGGAAGATGAGGACTCTCACAGTCACACGGCGACACAGAAAGGCCTATACGTATTCACAAGAAGAAGGCACGTAGTTTATACACAAGCAAGTACCAGCACCTAATTACCATGATTACCACGATACATACATATATATATATAATTAATATTAATCCTGTCGACACATCAGCTCCTGTCGAGCACCTGTTCACCTGGGTGTGAACCACTGGGCTCCGCCGCCCTCCGTCTCCGCTCGCTTCGTCTCGGTGGCCTGGACGCTCAGGACGCATCCCAGGTAGGCCGTGGAGATCTGAAACACCCAGGCGTCCAACCACTCGATCTGCCGGACAAACGGTGGTGATCCGAGGTGATGGTGCAAAAGGTGCAAAAGGTGGCCGGCCGTGGCGAAGACGAATCGGCGAAAGAGGGTTGGAGGTTCTAGATGTGTGTGAATTTTGTGCGCAGGATCAGGATGGATCAGGGATATCAGGGTCCCTGCTGCATGCTTGCTATGATTTGATCGATTGAACATGAGGAACAGGAACCGGGAATAACATCAAAGAGATCCACCCATGCCTGGGGATCCATCCCCATGCCTGGGGATCCACCCCGTTGGGAAACTTGAAGTCACCCCCATCTGCAAAACCATGCACGAACACGGCCATCTTCGCTCCTTGCGGTGCAGTCAAACCAACTGGCCCCGGGTCATACCCTGCCTGCTGCGCCATCTGCGTGTGGTATAAGATTTTCTGCCTCAAATCTGAAGGATGGTCATACCCTCCCTTTCAGGGCGGACCAAAAACGACAGGGTGGGGCATCTCCGCGTCAAAGAGGCCAACTGGACTGCGGGGGTTCTGTGGTCACAGACCGCGTGTAGAGAGGTCACATCTCAAGATCTTTCTGAATATACAACAACATCCAGCAAACAAATCGGTAGACTTCAACACAGGCCAAGAGCTAACGGATGTCATCGGGTGTCAAGGCCCGAAGAGAATTGAAGACACGTGAACACCTCAAGGCATGTGCTGTTCAAGCGTTTAAGCGCGGCGGAGCGGCAAAAGCCCTACCTGGGGCAGCAGGAATGCGGAGGCTGCTGCGGCAGCGGCCATCCGAGAGTTTACTGCCAACAGCCAGTGGGCCTCAAGCAAAGCAGTTTCAGTGGGGATGGTAGCTGCGTGGCGTCATGTCTTGGGTCGGGGAAGTGGTTCCTGAGTCGTGGTGCCGGCAGTGTCTTTTGTGGTGTTCTAGTTGGTAAGCCGTAAGCCTGGTAAGCATCTGTACATATATATATATATATCCAAAGTTTGTGGACATCATAGGTTCGTGGTGTAACCATCTAGTTTGGTGAGTGTACCTGGCGCTGCTTGACACCCCCAACACATCCCATTCCCACGTCGTTGTCGGCGGGATCGAAAGTCCACGTATGTCATACGTTGGGAACCCAACGAATGCATTAAGTGACCACATCATTCTGATCTTCCTGAACAAATACCTCTGCAAACTCCGGTCCATGCATGGATGTTTGTGGTCGCCCATGGGCGTCCATTCTCACATTTCACAGGCATACCAGTGGTGCATAGTATAAACCCCAAAAATATACCTATATCTATCATATATCCAATATGATTCAATATGATTGTATGTTATGTGTGTGTGGACAAGGGTCCTGTGTGTGGACAAGGGTCCAGAGCCGATATCAACTGCGCCATGATCGTATCCTATTTCAAGCTATTCCCTTTTGCCCACACGACATCCACTGCGACGGCCCTGCGGCAGCTGCTGGAGCAGTTCCACTCGCGCAGCCGTGCTCAATGGCCAAAGGCCTGCATGGCCCCGCGCGGGGATCGGTCTGGGAAGCTCGATGGCCTCGTCGATGATGTGACAAATGGGGCCCACCGCCCAGATCTTCTGTGAGGTCTCACACTCTGAAGGATGCCGGTGATCAGAGATACGGATCAAGCCAATGATACAAGAGGAGGGCAAGGTCTCTTCGGCCGGGGCATCAGGCCAAGCCTCCTCCATGCGATAAACCCACGCCTTTCCAAGTGCTTTCAATGGCTTTGCTCCAACATGCAAAGCATACCAACCAGTAGGGATCTGCCAGCTGCGATTCTCAACCTGCTTCAAGCCATTCACCATAGCCAGTCCTTGTTGTGGACCCTGCACTGTCAACGCCAACTTCACCTCCTCTGCTCCAGCCACTGCAGCACACCTTTTCGCTTCCCTTGCATGCGCAATAAACGGCCCAGCTGGGAGTGCGCTTGCACCAGCGGTTTTGGACGTCGATTTGTCGCCCAGCCAGTCCCAGCTGTACCAACTTTGGCCCAAATTGGGCGTCCAATCCTGAGAGGACTCCACCCACGCGGCACGACTATACCATGAGCGACGCATGAGACGAGTCAAAAGGGAGGAAGATGGAGGAAGTAGGTCTGGATGTGGTCTGGGCCAGCTGCGGAGCGGTCGGTAGCGGTTTAGCGCAACGGAACTATGTACAGTAAGTGAAACATGCCTGTCGAAGGTCTCGGAAGACTAGTGAGGGTTGAGGCATAGTAACATACAGTAGTAGGAATTCCACCATGTTCCATGGCTCTCACATTGTGGTATTCCATCTATGGATGGTTGTGTTCAGGGCCCAACTTAAAAGTACGACTTGCCTTTTTGTGTTCAGTGACCTTCACTTTCGGCACCCAAAATTGCTTGTTGACTCAGGCCAGAAGTGAAGTGATTTACTGCAAAGGCCCATGGACTGGTATTCTGAGAACACCTTTGTGAGTGGAATCCTTTTTGTTCTGTTTTCTCCGGATGTGTGCCTAGGTCCTAGACTCACTCACATGTCCCCTATAGCGACACATGTTCTCCTTCACTCTATCTTCCGTCGACCGGTCCCGGACGTGCGACCGCACGACGGGCAGGGCGGTGTCTGGTGTGCCTCGCTGGAGCCGAAGAAAAAGGCAAAACAGGTCGAAACGAACACTAGTAGCTCCTGGTTCGGACCACATCCTGTAGCTCCTTGGCTCCTCTCTGTGTGGGGTTTCGGAAAGGATGCCTTTTTCACGCATGCCCCCTCCACACCATGCGCGCGCGTCCAACACCTGAGGCACGTCTGTCCAAGTGGCTGTCTTCCCGGGCCCCGCGCACAGCGCGCCCAGAGCCGAAGGGAAGGCCTTGGAGGTCGAACCACCGTTCTTTCGGTCGGATGGGTCACCGAGGACGGCGTCACCGGTCATCGGTTTACTCTTTTGTAAAAGATCAGAAAAGGCTTTGATTCTGCAGCCGGCTACCATTTGACCTTGACCTCTCTTTTTGCATCGACCTTTATTGTTGTCTGTCGCCGCAAACCACAGGGGATGGGAGTGGAAATTCTTAGAGCGTCTTTCATGCTCTGGTACAAAAAATTGGGGGTCGTATACTAAAGGCCGTATTTGGAAGAGTCGACACTCTACTACATGCGTGTAGGCAAGTTGTGTCAACCAAAGGCCCCTTTTGGCCCCTTGGAATCTCAAAAGAGACGGTCCGCGGATGTCCGCGGCATGAAAGGAGCAATCGTGGCGTCGGGGCAATGAAGCTCAGGAAATCACTTGACAACAAAAAAGACCTGCAACTGCTTATAAGACCTTGGTTTCCGCCAACGAGGCAAAATTGATGCCAAATCACATGTGCGCTCCGTTTTCTTGAGTTGATCAGGGAGTCATTGGTGTCACCGGGGCACCCTAGTACCTATATGATTTTCCTCGGTCGGAGCGGTGGAGTGAATCTCACCTCAAAAATTGCAGCTGGAAGGCAAACCTGGCTGCTTGAGGAATGATGGCGTACTGCAATAAGCGTAGGGAGAGGCCTCAGCAAGCTACCCGGCAGCTTTCATCAGCTTGCTGGACAGAACGGCCGTTGTACAAAGGTAGTGATGTAATTATTAATATAAACATTACATTAAGCATGCATATCATGTATCAACTTATAATACTTATATGTATATATATTTATGTATGTAAATGGCTCAGCTCATACACCGGAGAATGTGAAAAAGGCTATTTTGTTCCAAACATCAGCCAGCTCTTTCGCACCTTCATCCCAAAGTCGTCAGTTCGGTCGAGTCTGAGTCAACAAGCCATTTGCCAAGAAGAACTGCTTGACTACAGAAAACTGTCTGTTCAGCTCTTCAACAAACGTTCCCCAAAGAATTGGCTCTGGGATGTTCTGGGAGCCTCGGTATTCCACCCCTCCCTGCCGGCCTGCACACATTCCGAAGATCACCAGCCCTCAGCTGAGTGGCGGCCGGTGCTGAGCTGCGTGTCGACATGGAAAACGGACAGTGGGACCCATGGGTGACCAGTCGGACAAGCACTTTCCACAACACTGCTCTTGGGCCGCGCAATGGGGCAGAATTGAGCGGCACAGCTGTTCAAATGGTCGGTCCCTCGCTCTCTTAGTCTGCCCCTGAAGAGGCAGCATGAGGTAAAGACGGCGATGACATGTGCGTGAGGCCAACAAACAAGGTTTGCGTCACAAAGCGTGCGAAGAAACATAGACACGACAAGCATTTCCATAAGCGCCTTCACAAACCAGGCTGCCCTGACAACCAACACGATTCTGCGACGAAACGAACTTCTGGCATCTTCTGGACTGGCAGAATTGTTTGCGTATGTGGAAGAGTCGAGTAGAGTCAAGCAGCTTCTCAACTTCCCAATGGCTAACTGTGAGGAGCTTCATGAGCTGTAGAGTAAAGAAAGTTGGCGCTGCATCAACAGTTTGCTAGGCGGACCCTGAAGCCAAAGGTGAAGATAAATCAATTGCATGCGAAAGGGGTCTTCATTTCCAGTCCCACTGCCAACTCCAAAACCAACCATCGGGTACGTCAGGGCAAGCTGGAGCAAAAGTAAGTAGCAAAACATGTTCTATCTCAGACCTTGCAATTGGGAAGGGGGCAGAACTCATCCTTGAAAAACAAACACAACAACCCGTGTTTCCATGCTCCAGCACTCTCAACTACGCCAAGTCGCGGATTGCAACCTTTCCTACCGCCTCCTCCACTGAAAACACGAAGGGCCTCCACCTTGATGCTGAGTCGCTGCCACACATAGGGAGATTTCATGAGATTTCGACCAAAAACTGGCCAGGGATACACTGGAGACCAATCCAGCATGGGGACAATATGAATGTGGCAAAAAGAACAAACCCAAAGCCCAAAAGGCCAGAATCTATTCGTCCAACTTTTGCTCGCCTCAGTGTTATACTGTATGTCTCAATTGGGTTGGATGCGGAAACACGGAAACAAATCCTTAGGATATGAGAGATCTTGGTGATTAGAGCGGTGCAATCTATTTTCCAACAGTTCGTACTGGTCGGAAGAGACCCAACAAACACCCGTGACACAGCTGAATTCAGCTGTGATCATGGCAGGTGGTGAACGGAGTGGCCACGCTTATGGGCGATTTCCGGTGCAATGTCCGAAAGAAGTCGTGCCGGGCACCACGGGACCTGGAACCCGACACCGGGGGGGGTGGAAAACAAGGACAAGTCCACCCCTTGAATCCCAAGCACTCTTAGTATAGTAGTAGAACTGGCCCCCCAAATGCGCAAGTGAGTTCCCTTTTAAATCTTAAAAGGATCTATTGAAAACGGTTGCCTATTTCAAAAGCACTAAGGACTTCTCGGGCCACCGGAGACTCTGCTCCAGTCGTTGCCGAGACTCTCCATGGGATCTACTTCACTCGACGCCGAGTGGCAGGACCACGCCCGTGAGGAGGATCAAAGACAAAAGGCCTCAAGCTCAATCTGGACGGAGGGCCGGCTCACGGCCAAGGTCGACGGAAGGCCTGCAGGAGACCTTACTTATATACGTTTCTTGGATAGGTCATCAAAAGTCTTGAACACCTCAGGGACATTACTTAGATAAGACTCCAGGTACTTATATAGACAGGTCCCTTGACGGAAGGATACGGAAGGCCTGCCTGAAAGATGACGGACCTTGAGAAAATGGACCAGTTCAGTTTCCATGATTGTGGGAAGGTGCAGCAAGGGTGCTACAGTAACTTTGGCTTTGACTCTGCATTCTGAGATGCGTGGATCGGGCCATAAGTTTGAAGGATCTTCCTTTGGCTGGTTCGGTCAGGTCCAGCACTGGCCTGAAAGCCTGAAACATAGAGCACAAATAAGGCACCACCCACCGACTGGTACCTGAACAGCACATTTGGCAGAACCTGGATTGTCTTTTCCAGCCATATCAATCGATGCCATTGGGGTTGCTTACACCAAGAATCACCAAAAGGAACGCCTGCGGAGCCTTCCTTCCACAGCCAAGTGACTGAACACAGCCCCCTTGACACGAAGCTTCTTCTGATGCTTCTTCAAGCTTGCACCGGCCTGTCTCGGTAGCCCCAGTCACAAAGAAAGCTACAGCATTGACATCTACAGCGATCGGTCAGGTCCCATATGCGATCGGTGCAACAGGATTTCAGCGATCACAAGTCTGGTCCGGCGAGTGGTCGACATTGCTGAAGTTCTTTATCCTCAAACCGACTCAAACCACGATGCAAAGGCAAAACCCGCTATAGCCAAGCACGCCACCAACTGTGCCACATCATAGTTACTAAGCAGCAGGGTTCAAACTATTGGTTGCTCGACGGACCTCACGAACTCAGGGCAGCCATGACATCAGCCTCGATGGCCTCTGAGGCTTCCTAAAACCCAACAATCATGGTCCCATGATCCGCTAGGAGCACGGCCTTGCAAAAACCATCAAAAACCATCCATTTTCAGGTTCGGTTTATTAGCTTTGTCTGTGGGGGGGTTGTTGTGTTTGTACCGTCAGCCCAAGCTGTTGGGTCGGTCTGGGGAACTCTGGACAGAAGCGGTGAGCCGGTGTGTGTTTCAGTGGTCGGTCTCAGTCTAGCCAGATGTCTTGCTTGTAATTGTTGGCCGTGCATGCAGGTACACATTTTCGACTCCCTACCTCAGCCCGAGAAGTGCCCTGTGCGCCCCCCGTTCGGTGTTCCAATCTTCCGACCAAGCAGCCTTGTCATCAGAGGCTGCCTCCTGCATCTTAGCTTCAACCTGCAGCCACGTGAATGTTTCGTAATCTGACAGTTGTATATAAGCACTAAATTTGACACCCAAACCCAAAACGTGCTAGAGTTATTGGAGTTTGTGGAACGGCATGCGGGCAGCACGCGGCATCATCTTTTCATTCAGCGATTTGCCGATGAATCAACACATGATGGCTGGCCAGTGTCATGGGGAACACTCTAAGCTTGATGCTATGGAGAGTTGAGAGAAGGACTTGCCCATCAAGTCTCCCCTGACCCAACCCCCACCACCTCCCGTGGAGCGTCAACACCGACCCAAACAGGTCCTGCCTCCGCTGCATCAGCCTTGCCTTGCCAAAGCAGGGTGGCCGTCTCCTGAAGATTGAGGCCGTCTCTCCGGTCTGACCGGGTGGGAATGTTTCATCACAACAGGATGTCCGTCGCCAGAAAAAGTGGCAGTGCAAACAACAAATTGGTGCAAACAACACATGCAGGATAATGCAGGATTGTTTTTGCAAAAAACAAGGCTTAGTGCTGGGTCCAACCAGCATTTTGCAAACATCCTCTGACAGGTAGTGTTCCATCGCATGAGTGGTAGCAGTAGCATGCAAAAATCAACCTGGTCATTCAATTGTTTGAGGTCTTTCCTGGGAGAACCTTAGTTTGCCCCTTTCCTCAAACCATCTCAAACCTTTAAGATCTTCTGACACTCCAGCCTTTCAGGGACGGTTGCTGCGCACTGACTTTCTTGCAACCTTCTCACTGCTCTTCAATGCTCTTCCCGCCTTCTCCAAGTCTAATCCAGCACAGCTCACTGGTGGTTTCGCAGGAGGCTTTTGCAGCAGTTGCTTGACGCTACCTGAGGCTGCGCTCCGATGCGGCCAACGTCCAGACTGTCATGAAACGTCTGAAGTCGTCACCCCCATGCTTCGTTTCACCCCCACTCACCGTTGAGCTTCTTTTCCAACGTTTCAAGGGTTGTAGGAAACCTTGGATGGGTGCCCCCATGTGGCATGCCACTGAAGGACCCTGCGAGTTCGTGCCACTGAGTGGCCACTGGGGCACTGAGTGGTGTCTCGAATAAATCAATCAGTTCTCAACCGCAGTGGTGAAGCATTCCATGCAACACATGGAGCCGATTTCAAGGAATGAGTGGTCCATGATGTTCCTCACACTCGAAGTGCTCATCCCTGCGACGTGGCCGGGTTTTCACCCATCTGTGGCATCATTGGGCCACCAATGAATACTGATTTCAACCGATTCCAGGTGTGTCTAGCGCATACACCCAGCATGAACAAAAATGGCCCAACCGCTGACTGGCCCAACCCTGTGGACCTCACCAATTGCAGCAACCCTGGTGCTTCTCTTCCTTCCAACCGCCTGCAAAGATCCAACCCCATCCGAGCAGCTCACAATGACGCCCAAGGCTATGGCCTTCGAGCTCAGTGAACCACAAGGGCCGCCAAAACTGAAGATGATCACCGCCAGAACCTGAAGATCGAGGCACCGCCCACGGGGGCGCAAGAGACGCGGCACCAGTTTTGCGCGCGAGACGAAACCCATGCAGCTCGAGTTGGGCTGGAGAAACATCTTCCCAACGGCTCGGTTCCTAAACTGTGCGTCCAACTTCTACGACTGCATGTCCAAAACACTTGTTCATGCGCTCCTTCTTGGGGACTCCGAACCCGTCGTCCGCGACGTTTGAGACGAGCCAGCCCGGTCGCCCGTCGTGACCGTTCGACCTCCAGCAACCCGAAAGGGGCCGGAAAAGGGGCCGAAGGGTTGGCTCGGTTCGTAGAAGGTTCACGAGTTGGAGGGCGATGATTGGCCATATTTACAGTGGTTTCAGAGTAGATGGCACAAACCCAGAGAGATCTTTTTTAATGGGGGTTCCTATAAACCACCTTTTGGATCCTTCTTGAGGATTGTGCCACTACTCTGAAACCACTGTACGTGACCATTGACTTGGGGCACTTTTGGACAGGGAGAACCTCTTAGAGGGGATGGCCGGCCACTGCAGAATTTCAGAATCCAATCCAAACCATTCTGGCATATTCTGGCCCATCTCTGAGAATGTTTCTTTTTTGGGGGGGGCACCGTGAGTGAACAAGGCGAAGTTGTTGGCAGGTCGAACAGTAACGGCTCACAATCAGCCCAGCAACGAGCACCAATGGCGGTGGTATGACAAAGGCGGACAAATACCTGGGCCGACCAGCATTTGCACACAAAAGTCAAGCTCGGCTGCACAAAGCCGAAGGCCTGGTAGAACTTCTAAGGCGAAGTCGTTCAGCCTCTCGGGGGTGTTTGGTGGATTTCCGCCTGCGATGACTCAGCTGCCCTGAAGTTTGACCGAAACTGTCACCACTTGAATCGCCACCAAGAAAACACTACCTATATATATATAATCATATCAAATAAAGATTCAATAAGAACGAATGTCGGACATCGGACATCCCCCTGAATTCAGGTCCCCTCCTGGGCCCTCCTGGTATTAAATTGCACCCCTTACATTCTACTACTAAACTGCCTCCAAAACCATTTGGGGAGAATTGGTTTTATCGGGTGGCCATGCACGTGTCCTCTTCCCCAAGGAGGCACATGTACTTGCCACACGAACGAAGCCTTGCCGCTCGCTCTTTCCACAGCGGGAAAGGCCTCACCAGACCGCATGGTAAAGCGACATCACCTCCTGAAATCCATTGAAATCTTTCCTCCCTAAGAATCAAGGACCCTCAAAGGTGAAGGTTTTGAGGGTCCAAACCCCTGCGAACTGCAGGGTCAAAACCCTCCATAGGAGGGTCCAATGATTCTTAGGGCTTGCAAGATCTTGCAGTTTTAGTCTGATGGAATGATGGAAGCTGTACAAGGCCTAGGTATCTCGAAACATCAATATTTCAACAAATTTGTTGTCTAAATGGAACAGGAAGAAAAACCACTCGATTCTTTGGTCTAACTTTTGACACGAGGTGAATCAAGGATTGACTATCAAATCGTTGGCGGCGAGGTTTCGATTCGCAGCTCTTCCCAAGTTCTCACAGGGAGAGCCGGTGTGTTGGTAACAAGTAATAGGGCCTTTAATAGGGGATTTGTGGGGCTGCTACATGGAAGATCTGAAACCATGGCACCAGATCTTAAGCGTGCAGGTTGTCTTGAAAAGCATCTGAACTGGCAAACCGACAACTGTTTGACTTTGGGAATGGGTTGCACGCCCCATCATTTTTTCCCCACCATGGTGGGGCAACTTCCAGCTGGTTTGGAGGCGGAAAAGGCACCGGTGAAGCACCGGTCCCGCCGCACGACGTCCCAGCGGCATGCTGGCCGCAAAGGCATAAGCAAATCTGCCCACTGGCGGGCGGCTCTTGATCGCGAAGGCCAAAATCAGGGCCTCGGGTGCCATGAGAATGCCCCAAGTCAAAGCGATAATGGATTCTGAACTGGCCTACTTGGTGGATGTCGAAAACATCAAACATGTTACTGTAAATTACTCTTGGAGCTTGGATGATTGATATGATTGGACCACCTGTCAACAACGTTGCCCCTTTCCAGGTGCCTGAAGGTCCTGTGCCCACTGAGGTGCAAGAACACCTCCCATAAAGAACCATCATGGCAATGAAGCCTCATCTCATCAACCTCTTGTATGTCATAAAGGCAAGGCTTTTGCGCCGGCAATGCTCAAGAGGGTGATAGTTGGTGATGGTGACGGCCTGGTGGCTAGCAGCTTAGCAGCCTTTGCAAAAGTCTTTGCACTGATATTCCTCCTGGAGTTCCACTTCTTTGAGGCTCTTCCACCCTTTGATTCCACACTTCTGTCTATCCATGACATGGCTTCCTTCGCATCCTGCCGTTTTTGTTTGGGCTTGAGGTCTATTTTTATATAACGTTTTTAGAATATCGATCTGGATGCGGATTACTCACCAACACACCACTCTAGAATCTAGAAGGCCTCCGTTCATTGCGCACATGCATTAAAAACAAAAAACTAGTCATGTCTTCCCAGTCATACTTCACCCAAACACCTTAGTCCAACAGTTGCCAGAATGTGTTTCTAGTTCGTTGGTCCAACAGGCTGAACCGTGAAAGCCAGACCCGCTCAAAGCGCTGAGCGTTAGCAATAATCGAATTGTGTGCATTTTAATGGGGAACCCCCCAACAAATGGGTCTTGGTACTGGTTTTGGCATGTTTTCTCTCCTGGGGGTCGTTGCCTGGAAGGTCTCCCTTATTGAATGCACACCCATTTGTGCAACGTCCCAGGCACCAACGGAATTACCAAGAGCTTCTTGATCTTCTGCTTCTTGGTATTGGGCTCCTGAGCTGCTTCAACGTAACAAACCGCGGAGCTGCTCAGCCCGGACCGAAATGAACATTTACCTTGAGTCACGGCAGTTTGGCCCTGAGGAACTCTGGACGGGAGTTTGCCAAAGTGATTCCAACCCCCCTGAAAGCAGTCAGCGAAAAACTGAAAGGGCACCTGCACGTCACAGGGCTCAAAGGTGCTTGGTAAAAGTCTTGCGCTAGAAAAGACCAGACACAATCGAGTGTGGTGTCGTGTGCCATTCCCCAGCTCTGACTTAAAACCAGCACGGCCATGCACGGCCTGCTATGCTATGGGCTAATCCCACGCTACCCTTTGCTTTTCAGGATTTAAAGGAGAAACATCTTCACAACTTTTGTGGATCGCATCCTTTTTGAGCACTGCCCTTTGGGAGACAACATGGCAACCCAAAGACCAGCGGCAGATGCCCAAGGCTTCCGAGACCGAGACTCCAAGGCCTTCTTCCCCGCATCGAGGGCCGCCTGAACGCCCGCCATTGGCACGGTCACCAGGCCCGAACGCATCGTGCCCGTGCCACGCTTCACGAACCGGAGCGCGGTCATCGCCGGCAGCAGCAGCGTGCCATCCTCAGCGACAGTGACGACAAGACATGGCGTTTTTTTGACCAGTTTGACTCAACTATTGGATAGTATCAAAGAATCAAAGAGCCTCATTGATCGTTTTTTTATCTCTCTCTCTCTCTCTCTCTCTTTCTCTGTTTATTTAAAGCTATATGTATATATGTATATATATATACATACATATTTGTACACAGTATCTATACACCGATGATCACCGATGTGCTTTACATACACCCATATGTGTTTTTTTACATTGTTTGGTGACATGATGTAAATATGTGGTCTTCTGTGAGATATCCTCAACTCCGCATGTGAACGCTGCATTTACAACATGTTCAAGAAAAAGCAACAAGTGCTAGAACCTCCTGCATTCAGCTTGCGGAAAGAAGAGAAGAGACGACTTTCCACATTTGCTTTCCCCAAGCTAAAACCCACAATGTAGATAAACAAGAGACGACTTTGTCATTTGCCTGTACCTAAGGCACCTACATGCACCTGCCCTCTTCGGGTCTCCAACATGGGTAAGACACAAACTGCCACGGCATCAAGTCATGACCGTTGCCCTTCAATGGAGAGATAATCACTTCTGCACATATTGAAACATGTTCCTCTCTGCACCCATCTGTATGACAATTTCAATTAGCCCTAGAATGTACTAAACCTGTTGGGAACACCAAGCGTCTTCAGTGAGGATTTCCACTTCCAGGCCTTGGAAATCTTGAAGCGTTCCATTGACCAGTTGGCCGCCCACGAAGCCTTTCACTTGCTTCCCTCGAAGCTGTATCCGGTGAATGGCCATGAACGCCCGAGCCAACACGTTCCTCGGACCGGCCGAAGACATGGGGCTGGGATGGGTCTGGTTTCGGATGAAAATCCCAACCCCCAAAACCAGCTGTCCCTCTCATGAGGGGCAAACCATACAAGACCTACATCCTGAAAAATCCATCAAAAGCCACCGGTTCTTCTCATCTGGAACTCCGCTGGTTGCATGTGTTCCGGTGTGTGCGCATAGAATTGCATTATTCCAAAACATTGCATTCGTTCATCCTCAATATATTATTTATATATATACCCTTGGGTTCCATCAGTGGTTATTTTAACCACTGCTGCTCAACAGATGTTTTTTCCCAAAACCATGGTTTGCTCAATGGTTTTTATGTTCTGCTAAACAACCTCCGATTCAGCATCAAACCATGATGCAAAAAAAACATCGAGGGATTGCATGATCACACATGTCCCATTGAGCTCTTTTTCAGCGTTTGGAAAGCAGGCGCTTCTTGGCCCCAGCATTCAACCTTAGATGAGCAGGGTCCGCTTTGAAGGCTTTTGATGCAAATGCGCAGCATCACATTCACACTTAGAAATACGGGTGAATATGAGGTGAGAAGCCTTTGGATCTTAGAGTCCATCGACAACACGCGGAGCTTCGTCAACCACATGACCCAGTGATTGCGCCGCAAAGGGTGTCCACGCAATGCTGCACCTGGTGCACGAGTGGTAGCTAGCACTAGCAAAAAGTAAGATGGCGCAAGGTGCTGCACGTTACCCAGTCAACACCGCTGAATAATGGCGCCTTTAGCCCAGCGCATTCCATCTTCTTCTCCAAAACAATGGTAGAAGCGCGGGTTGTATAGTTGTTTTCGAGCGTCTCGGCCCAACTTAAGCACCATCTTAGTGAAACACCATGCGTGCAACAACTGAACTGTGAAAACCATAAAGTGCACTGCACGCGCAAACACCACTGCTCTATCGACACATGCAAACAGGGCACATGGATTTTGGGTCTGAGGCGGAACTCATCCCGCGTGCCCCTCACAGGGCTGCATCTAGTAGAATTTAGGATAGCAGCCAGTCTCAAATTTAAGCTCAAACGCCCAGCGCCTCACGGCATCCCTGACAAGCTCCAGGTAGCGTTTGACAAGCAGGCGCGAAGTCCGTAGAATCTCATCACCTTCTGAAACGGTCAGGTACCGCCCTGCGTGCTCCATAAGCGAATGGAGTCTGGCCAAGGCAGTCCTGAGCCCATCTCAAAAAATGGTCCACACTCGACTGATTCGACCACGTAACGCTAGCGGCTAGCGTGTTGAGGCAATCCAAGAAGCTGGCAAGAGCACATCAAAGCCAAAGGCCGTTTAGGCTGGGCAAACCTAGGAATCAAGAGGTCGACCAGCTGGACAACACAAAGCGCCAACACCAACAATATGAATTGACCGTCAACAATGGTCAATCAAGGTACTCTCGCTGCCGTAGTTCCGCTTCTCGCAAGAGCTCGTGAAGCCACTGGGCCACCAAACGACCATTCCAAGCTTTGCACGTGAACATCACTTTCCCATCTGGTTTGAATACCTTGGCTCGATTTCCTGACGCTGACATGGCACCACTGGCAAGACTTTCAAAAAAACTTGCATCACAAGTCAAACGTGGTGCCATGTACGGGCGGAAGGGGATTTGACTTGAGGATAATTTGTTTCTTCGAAGCCATGCCCTGAAGTTGTCATAGGCACGGTCAAAGTGAAGCTGGTCAGTCACAGGCGTTCCGGCTGGCGTCTGAAAATAGTTCATTTCAAGCAGCGTCAACCTCAAGCACGCATCCTAAACCCGTCCGTTGTTCAAACAAATGACACACGCTACCACACTGCGCACGCTTTGCCAGGTGACAGTGCCCCACCATTCACGTCGAATTGGATCCCGAGGTGGATTACGTGCATGGAGCACGGCTTGATGATTGCAGGGTGAAATCCCCTGCAAAGTATAATGGGACCTCAAATTTTGTGTTGGCATCGTTGCAGTACCAATGCAATCTCAGGGTTCCGTGCATGTTCACTAAACTAAATCCAAAACCCAAATGCAGGCGACAGACACGGGTCTGGTTCAACAATTTGAGTGGCAAGAAAGGAGGTGGTGTCATATTCTTCCCATTCTGGTTCTGAGTCCCAGTAGTTGTAGAAGAATGTGCTGTCATTAGCGCCCTTACCAACAGCAGTACACCTGTAGCACACGTTGTCCATGCGTTGCCAGCTCGACCGGAAGCGCAGTACTTGTTTGTGGTGCAACCAATCTCCCTTGAATTCGGTCAGCACGAAGTACCACCGTTCATCAATGCCATCGAAGGCTTTGTTGAGTGAATACGCAATTCTCTTGTACAGGCGATTCAGTGTGTGATGCTTATAAAGCAAGGATTCCTCCATTGCAAAAATGCACCATCTACTGCATCGTGATGAGAAAGGTCTCCACAATGGCAAAGCAAGGTAAAACGCAATGATTTTTCCAGCACTATTGCTCATCTTTGCGGCATCCCCAAAAATAGAAACAGGGATATGTAGATCAGACGCCCCGTTTTCGAGGTAACAGGATTGTGGCGCAGTACGCCGGACGTGATGCCAATACTCACGCACATCCCTCTCGGGAATGACAATTCCCGTTGTAACGAAGAGGTGCTTTAACAGATTGTGAGGTTCGATAAGCTCTAGTTCCTTCATCGAAAATCCACGAGGATCTTTGACGTTCTTGACGGGCACTGATATCCGGGTGGTTTCCTTATAAAATTCATGCGCACCAACACGCAAACACACATGCACGTACAGATGCACCGCACATCACCACACACCACATGCATGCACACAGTGGACTATAGTATTAAAAAATGAATGTCAGACCGGGGCACAACAGAACCTTTCGCGAGGCGCTTCAGATCTCGAGCTTCGTTCCCGGGCCGAAGCTTGCCCATCCGATAGCTTTTTGGAGCGCATTGTCCACGACAATCCTGCCAAGAAAAAAGTCACTGTACATACATAGTATCATGATCTTGCATGCATGAAGTGTTGAATAATTCAAACAAACTTACTTGCCCCCCTTAGAATTGGGCAATGGATCCATGCATGATCGGCAGCGCGCTGGCCTTCACGTGAGCTCTGCATCTTTTCAGCGCGCGGGAAGCGCTGCTAATCTGCAGTCAGGATGGGTTGATTGAAGAATAGATGCAATGAATGTCTTCGACTAAAATTAGGCTCAACTAGATTGCAGGCAGGCAACACCTGCTTGGAGATCATCGATCACATCATCGAAGAAATGTTCACGAGGGCTTCCAGGTTCTGAGCCTGCGTGGGAGCTAGCAACCAACATATTTAAAACCCTATCCCGTCCCGTCCTGACCTGCCCGCCAGTGTTTCCAACCATATTTCTCGGTTTCTCTAAATCCCACTGGCCGCACGCTTGGCTGCCAGAAATTGATAGCCCTAGAGAGCGTTACCACTCTAAGGAAGAGACCCCCTGAAAAGCACGCTTGACTCCATAAAGACTCCAAGTTGCCATAAAACAAATTAAAGATTTAGTGACATCGCTGACATCGCTTCGAACTGGAAAGTTGAAGTGAACGTGCATTGCCCCCTTTCAAAAAGACTTGGCGACCCTTGCACACTGGTAGGCCGACACTCTCCCACCCACATTCACAAACACCATGGAGCATGGAAGTAAAAAAGGACGAGGGTTTCAACACATGTAGTACTAGTACAGTGGGGATCCGGGTGTAGAGCTTCCTAAAGCCTCCCAACCGCAGGGACCGCATGGTCGTATTGACCGGCCGGTAGCTCAGGACAAGTTCTTCAAGAAGTCCTTGAACCTCTCGATCTGGCCCTCACCCTTGTCGGCAGCCATGTTAATTTGGCGCTCCTGCGCAAACAGGGGGAGGAGCGTCAACGTGGTTTATATTTTATCGAAGTTTGGAATGAACCTGATTGTTCACGATTTCCAGATTCGAGTGGTGATATATCATCTCATGTTCTGTTGTGTAAGGGACAAGCGGTTTTCGACATAGCCGCCCCAAGTGGTCCTCACCCGAATCAAAGGCCAATTGGAGCCCATCTCTCGCACTCTGTAGGATTACCCTTTGCTTTTCCAAGGATTTGACAAGGGGCGCTTGCAGCTCCGTTGACCTGGGTTCAGGCTTCAGGTCATGTTTTATTCTAGTGGAGCGGAGGTTGTTAAACAAAAAGGCGTTGCACAGGTTCATTGATTGGGTATAACGCTGCATGAGCATCCCAACACCCCAACGCCAAGGAACAAAGTGCCAGCTTCCTTGATCCTGCTGCTGCACTCGTTGATGCGGCTGGTGAGCTGGTTCAAAACCTGCGGCTGCAAAGATCGAGATTTGGCCACTCGTTTGCAAGTTTGACACCCTAAAATCGAAGAACCCGGGTTCAGAGGTTGTTTAAATGAGATCAGGCAGCCTTCTTGGCATCAGCAGTCTTTTCCTTCCAAGCTTCTCTCTCCTTTTTCTTTGCTTCCTGCTCATCCTTCTTTTTCTTCTCCTGGGCTTCCTTCTTCAGCCGCTTCTCCTTCTCAGCCTTTGTCTCTGCCTTTCCATCCCGATCCTTCCCTGCCTTCTTCTTTGCCTTCCTCTTCTTTAATGTCTTTCTTGCACCCTTGCCACGCTTCTCCTTCGACTTTCCCTTTGACCTTCGTGACTCCTTCTTTTCGCTCGATGATTCTGATTCTTCATGCTCCTGGAGATTTTGCTCATGGGCCACTCATGGGGCACATTTATATGGAAACACGGGCTGGTGGTAGTCTATAGAATCAATCATGTAGCCCGGCCTCGGATCCATGAGAACCAGACGATGATGATCGGGTCGACTTGGAAGAAGCAGATCGGCGTCGACGCTTGCTGGAGGAGCCACCGTCCCGCACAACATGACTGTCTGTCATTATGGTGCGGTCTTTAGTGATTTCCGACTCACTGTCCCAGCACAAGTACAACCACATTTCCTCGGCAGTCAGACGTCATGTACAGTGTTTGGTGAACGAGGACTCACTAGCTAGCAAT